TAGTAAAAGTTAGGCATATACAAAAGCATCATGTTCAGAGTAGAGAGATGTGCACTAACATTGTCTGACTAAGAGGCAAGCTCTTTGAAACCCGGACCTAAAAGAAAAGCTGCTTCTATGTCCCTGAACACAAACTGTATATTAAACAGCCCGCTCTGCTTTGAAGTACACTCTGCTTTCACATTTCTGCTCCCGGAGGACTGCAGGTAACCCACCAAGTATCAAAAATACCTTTAGACACTTTTAAAGTCAGAACTTTCCTGCTCTGACCTGAACACACAAGTCGGTATTCGTGGCAAATGTCCATCACTAATGTCTTTAAATTTGTCTAGCTTTTGAACCACACTAAACAGGTACGTTCTCGTACTTCCAGCGTGGCAACAACAGACTCATCTGCTGCCTCTTCACAACAGCAACCTCTTCGTTGTCCTAACATCACGTGCAGACCCCGCAAAGCACTGAGCAGCCACAGGGCCTTTCTGCATCCAGCAAAAGCTCATTAGTGTAGTGTACGATAAAGTCAGAAGACTCCTGCCTGGCAGAGCAGTGAAACGTGTTCATAGAGCTCAGTAGGAAACATAAAAAGAAGCTGATGTTTAGAAGTACCCCAGGCAAATGACACTTGTCAGAGAGTCCTATTAAATAAAATGACAAATCAACACAGGAAAAAATGCTTTAAAACGCCCTAAAATGAAACTAGAAGGTGACAGGGGACTATTTAAACTTGCACATCTTTTAACATGAACTGGAGGTAAGGAAACGGAAAACAAAAAACTTGCAGACGTTGCAATAGGATAAACTAAAAGTGGGTACATTTAGACGAGATAAGGAAGAAATTATTTTACAGCTGGGGTGGTGACACTGGAAGAGGCTGCCCAGAGAGGTGCTGGATGCCCCATCCCTGGGAACGTTCAAGGTCAGCCTGGACAGGGCTCTGAGCAACCTGGTCTGCTTGAAGATGTCCCTGCTGACTGCAGGGGTTGGACGGGATGACCTTTAGCGGTCCCTTCCAACCCAAACTATTCCATGATGCTTTGATTCCAAGTAGAAATAACAGCAATGCTGATAATGAGGGAACTAGTCAGATGAAGGCTATCACGTAAACTAGCAGGTCTCTGCACTGCAAGTTCAACAAAAAAGGTGTAGGTAAAATCACCACTCATGAAGTTCCCACTTGATGAACCACATTTTTCAAGGCTTGGGAGGACTGCGAGAGAAAGAAACCGTGAGGAATTTCAGAAGCAGTTTAAGCAAGCTGCACGCCAAATCTTCACACTGAGAAATACACTGCTCTAACAGAACATTCCTCTGATGCTCACCACACACGCGCATTTTACAGAGGTTCTGCGGTCCAATCTATCCTAATCAAACAACACAGGTAACTAACACAACTGCTTGCAAGTTAGCCCTGAATGCAGACACGTGGAAAACCAGAAATCCATGAAAGCACCATTTCTTGTTTCTACAAAACCTGAACGTAGAGAACGAAAACATTTTAATGCCTTTTAAAGGCAGCCAAGGCCTCCACTCTGATAAAGAAAACCTAGTCCCTTTGGTAAATTGAAGTGGCATGCAAAGCTTAACATATTTTAAGTGTCTCATAAGTGAATACCTCACAATGAAAAAGTATCTGGTAAGAAAGTACAAGATATTCCATGTCTTGAAGTTGAAGGCAACCAGGATCAGGCTGTGCTACGCTCTGGGACCTGCTGAAGGAAAAGACGCAGCAGTTATCCACGCCAGTTTCTCCTTAGGACCACCGTGATCTTGACTTCTCAGGCACTCCGCAGAGCTTACAGGTTTCAATCTGCGTGTTTGTGCTCCCTGGAGATGTGGGTTGAGGCAGCAGGAGTGCAACTGAAAACTAAAAAACTCCACGTGTTTCTGAAAAAGATTGTTCCTCTTCTTTACAGAGGCTCAGAAGGGAATAAATCCTCTAGTGTAACTGCAGGACGTGGTTTCAAATGCAAATACTCACTGAAAAATCCAAAGTAAAGGACATACATCAAAAGACATCATGCATTTATATTACATTAACTGCTAGAATATTACACTGAAGACACAGTGGTACTAGCAATGTATATAACTCTAAATACAAGGAAAAATAAGTTTCTCAAGCAATAAAGAGAGAAGATATCAGCTTGTTTCATGTGAACGTATTTTCTTTCAGTTCATAGAAAGATACGACTTGACCAAGTTGTTTGTAAGACATTTAGTCCTGTTTATGACAATCTCCAGAACAGTAAGACTCCTGACAGACCGCTCAGACCTTGCATGAAACAGCCTACAGGAAAGGAGGGGAAAATCGTTCCTGCCACTTCTGACAGGGGTGCATTCTGCAACGCCACAAGAACTCGCCCTAGTTCTGCATGTGTTTTAATGTACCCTAGACCAAGCGAATCTGAAAATGAGCACCTGAGATGAGGTTCTTAAAGTACTCTTTATTAATATCATTAGAAGTTGCAGAAACAACTTTCTTGTAATATAAAGGCACAGGGAGACAGTTTTGATAAAATAGTCCAATCGAACAGTAACTTACAGTACAAAAGGACAATTGTAATGCACATACAAACCCCAAACATCTCATTCAAAAATATTTCACCGTGTTCATCATCAATAATGGGCAATGACTAAAAATATAAATCGTTATTGTACAGTATCTGATAGGTGCAAACGGAACAAGATTTATTGCTCTCGACAACGTTTTCCCTGTAGTGTTTGTTTTTTGTTGTGGGTTTTTTTTTTGTTTGGTTGGTTTCTTTAAAGTTCCAAATTCCTTTTATAAACACTTATTTCTGAGGGAACCAAACCCCAAACCAAATCTGATAGAACGTTCTGACTGTTACGGAACTGCCTCCAGTAGTTACCAGAACTGGTAGTGCTCATTTATTTGAAAACTTCAACAGTCGTACTCCACTCACTCACTGAGACGTGTGGTAGATGTTTAAAAATTAACTTTAGTGGTAAGTCAAGGCTTTTATGGCAGGGTAGTATTACCTAGTCTGAGGGTTAGTCTGTTCGCTTCAAACGAGTGGATTTTGTGATGCCAAGTAACACGAACCTCCTCCGACAGCCTGAGCCAGAGCAAGCACGTCAAACGGTCTTCAAACGAGGGGAGGGGAGGAATCAAAATTAAACGCTGCATTGGGCTTTCTAACTTCAGAAAACAACACGGAGGACTAGGAGCAAATTAGGACTACACAGGCAAAGATGACCAAGTGAGAATTCCAAATCCTAAAATATCCTTAATACAGTCATCTCAGAAACTAAGACGCACTCTGCATCTTTATATAGCTCCACCTTTTGAGTTCTGAGAAAGAAGGGCCAGTCAATGGGTCTGCTGTTTTCCTCACCTTGCACTTGCAGTGAGTTGGCTCTGCAAGCCTCCAGCCGCCCTTTGGTGCAGTATGAGGCATGCTGACTTGGCTCCTGAAAGCAGAGCACACTCCTTGCTCACGATTCTTTTTATCAGGTACGAAATACTGCTTTATACACACACCTAGGAAATATCACTTTCCTTCATTACTGTCACAAGAAGTACTGTGCATACATTTCCTAAGATTGTCTTTATGAATTAGACTTCAGGAAAATGAAGCATTATAGTAATTGTGAAAACAAAACAAATCAAAACAGAAAAAGATTGGAAGTGAGTTCTTGTAGCAGTAACTGAGGCTTTTATAAAAACTGTGATTTATGAGACCAACTCCAGATTTACACAAACCTCAACAAGTCAGTTTTAACTGCACGGGGAACAGTCCAGCTTAGTGCAAGAAAAGGTGCCTAGAGAGAATACAGCTTAATCAATTTTGCTGGTAAACCAAAAGATGAATACTCAGTAAACACCTGAATTCAACAGAATTTCAAATGATGGAAAACAAACTGCTAACTTCCTAGACACTGTTATTCAAATTGTGGTTTCTTCTAGTACAAGCACAGAGTTTTAGCAGTTCTTCAAGGAGTAACGAAGGATCACTGAAATTTTAATTAAGAATTATTAACTTCACTACAGTATAGCATTTTCTCTTTACTATTTGTTTAGAACCTAACAAAGAAAACAATTTTCTTTGGTTTATGTTTAACTACACTGGACCAGTGAATTTTTATTTTTAGTCAAGCTTCTATCTCCAGTTTAAACCAATACAGATCCTATTGTAGCCTCTCCCAAATTCTCAAATTATGTCTATTAAAAAGTTTGCTCATACCATGATT